CCGCATGCTCTCTCCCTTTCTCCAACCCCACCTCTACCTCCAATTCCATCCTCTCCAGCATGCTCATCCTCATCATCAGCATCACCCGTAGCTTCGTTGGCTGCAGGCTCGAATTTGTTTGGACCCGTCTGGCATGGGGAGCCCTTCGATTCAGCCACGTACGCGTGTGCGCCGCGGTAAGGTCCGAGAGCTCAGAAGTGGGCTCCTCGGCCAATTGAGCAAGTGAGCCTTCAGCGTCCTTCGTCGTGAGCGGTTGCTGCCTGAATATGGCCCATTTCACAGGAGCTGATTTCTCAAGGTATTGTCGCTTGCACCATTCTTCCAAGCATACCTATATTGACGTCCACCTTGTCGGCAACCGTCGAACTGAAAATTAAGTGTGATCGTCGGAATTTAGTTAGCAATTCAATATTCATGGCAGTTTTTTTATGCGACCCCTCTGATGCTCAGTTGCGCTTGTCTGATGTGCAGGGGGCACTGCTGCAAAACAGTGAAGGACTAAGAGGTCCCTGCTGCTCAAGGATAGATCCAAGAGACCACAACGATGGGTGACGTAGTGCTGGTGATTACAGTTTTGCATGTAATGTGATCATCATTGTGGTGTTCGTATTTAAGTTTGCCATCGTTTGCCGATGCACGCCAGGTTGTTGGATCATGTGGTCGAGGGGGGATACAGAGAATGCCCCTGCCACCAACGCCAGCCAGTGAGAGCAGATACCATCTTGAGCGCTTCAAAGACCTCCTAGATCTCCACCCCCTATTGGAGCCCCCTCTCCCCCCTCAAAAGCTTCGATCCCACCCGACGGTGATCCTTCCGCCCCCCACCTCTCCACATTCAGTGCTGCTCCTCTCTCGACTGTCCTCCTCGATCTACCCCCTCGATGCCTCTGCTCCTGGAGCCCCCATCCCCCACCCCACTCCCCCTTCAAAATCTCGGCCCTTCCCATCACTTCCCCAACCCACCCTGCACCGTTCTTTCTCTCGCAGCAAGGCGCTGGACGCCCCCTCGTCAGTCTCCTCGTCCTCCTCTTCATCACCACCACCACCGCCACCACCACCACCATCAAGTCATCATCATCACCATCACCATCACCATCACTTTCATCAATATCATCATCAATATCAGCATCACCCTCAGCATCACCATCACCAATCTCAGCATCATCAGCATCATCAGCATCATCGTCAGCATCAGCATCATCATTAACATCTTCACATTCGTCATCATCCTCACCATCAACATATTCAAACTCGTCATCGCCATCATCGTCATCAGTATCGAAATCAGCGTCGTCCTCCTCCTCCACGGCATCATCACCCTCACCACAATCACCATCATCTTCATCCCCATCATCATCGTCATGGCCATCGTCATCGTCTTCATCATCAGCATCATCAGCATCGACATCGTCATCTAAATCATCATCAGTATCAGCATCGTCATCATCATCGTCGTAGACAATGATCACCGTCACCAGTTTCATGTTCATCATCATCAGCAGCCTCATCATCATGCTCAGCATCGTCATCGTCGTCGTAAGCACCAGCATCATCAGCATTACCACTAACATCATCATTTCTACCATCGGCATCGCCATGACCATCATCAGCATCATCATCGTCACCTGCGTCTGTATCGTAATCTTCATCGTCATCGTGACCATCACCATCAAACACGTCATCGTCATCACCATCGTCATACGCACCATGATCATCGTCATCATCACCATCGTCATCATCATCTTCATCGTCATCATCAACATCATCAGCCGCATCACTATCGTTATCATCTTCATCAACAGCATCATCATCATGTTCATCTTCATCCTCATCGTCATCGTCATTGTCATCGTCGTTGTCATCGTTCAGACCCGTCCCCACATATACACACAACTCGTGGTCGAATCGAGCCCTCGAAAAACAAGTCCTCCTCATTATCCTCCTCCTCCTCGTCATCATCACCATCATCATCAGCAGCATCATAATCATCGTTCTCATCTGCATCATCACATGCCGCTGCACGCTGTCGATTGCGACCTTCAGACCCGCCCCCACGCACACCAACTCGTGGTCGATTCGATGCCTCGCATCGCAAGTCGCCCTCATCAGTATTATCCTACTCCTCGTAATCATCAGCAGCAGCATCAGTATCGTCCTCCTCATCATCATCAGCATCATCATCAGCATCATCATTGCAACCATAATCAGTATCAGCATATCTTCATCTTCATCCTCATCCTCATCCTCATCGTCGGCCTCCCCCAGCACCTGGTCCTCCGCCGCCAGCCAGGCGCTGGATGCTCCCCTGCGCGCGCTCAACGCAAGCGCGCTTGGGCAGCTGCCCGGGGCGGCCACGGAGGCACTGCAGGCCTGGGGCCGCGGTCGGTTTCGCTTCCCCTCGCCCTCCTAAGGGTCAGGGGCAGCGTCAGGGGGGATCGACTCACCATTTTGTCCTGGTTCTTGCTGTATCTCGTCGTCGTCGTCGGCCCCCCTCCTCCGCGAGCGCTTACGCTCTCATGAATCACACCGGGATCTATAGTGCATCCCGGGCTCTGGCCCGACCGTCGTGCTGTCGTAGGGCCGTCCTTCTGGACGTGTGTCGGCGCCTCGCCTCGCCTCGCCTCCCTCCCCTCGTTAGGGTCAGGGGCAACGTGAGGGGGGGATGGGCTCGCACTCGGGCCTTCCCCGCTCTTTTGGGGCGGGTCCTGAGGGAAACCCTTCGAGGTGTTCTCGCGATTTCGTCGGTTCGCGGTTTCGCAGCCTCGGGGTGCCTTCCAACTAGTGCGCCTCGCCGAGAGCCCTCCGGGGGTGCTCGGATCGTCCCGACCGGCCGCCGGAGAGCCGAGTGCGGCCGGCCCGAAAGCCAGGGTTTCAGGGGGCTCACGGGGGGCGGAGGGTTTCTCCGAAGGGCTTAGGCGACCCGTTCTCCTCCTCCTCCTCCTCCTCCTCCTCCTCCTCCTCCTCCTCCTCCTCGGGTCGCCTACTGCCCCGGGGGAAACCGTGCAGCCCATTGATCGCCGACAGGGGCCCGATAACAAGCCACGCCCTGGAACGTGCGGATTCGCTCTGGGGGCCATCGCCGTTCAATTGGCGACGTATCGCTCATTCAAGCTCGATGCTTCCGCTCCTGAGCCAGTCTCCCCCTGATTATTGTTGCTTCTCGTCCCTCGCCCTCCTGTCTGCAGAACTCCCGAGAACAAGAGTCTCGAATGAGAAACAGTTGCTTAAACATAAACTGTCGGAGGTCCGGGCGGACTGCTTGGATCGGCAATGCCTGCCGTTGCCGGCGCCCCTTGCGTTGGTTTGTTCTGGAAAGAGTCAGAAACCAGGCGATGACGAGGATTCTAAACAGCATGGCTTGGAAGGTGATGAGAAGGAGGGTGCGATGATGACGAAGGCTCACTTGTGCGGGAGCCCTCCCAGGTTATTTGTTGAGGCTGATGGCCAGATTCTTAGCCTCTTCCGGACACTGCTGCTCCGCCTTGCTCACACAGAAGGAGGGTGAGGTCTTCTCTGGATGTGAAAGTCTTTCCGCAGGACCCCTCAGGAGACCCCCGTGCGGCGACATCCGCGCAACCTGCAGCGCCCAGGCAGGGAAGCCTCATGCGGTAGTTTTCTTACTCATTGTTTTGCCGATCGGCGCGGGCCCTCGCACCCCCTTCCTCCCCAATGGAGTATATCCTGGCTGTTTTTGCGGCCTGTTTCAAGCAGGTGGAGCCTTCCCCCATAGGACGCACTTTTGCAAACAGTCGCATTCAGCAGAGGTCCGGCGCCAGACCCCCACTCTTTTCGCCCAACGTCGAAACGCCGAATACGAACACTCACCATTTGGATCCCCGTGCGCACGCCCGCGGCAGCGTGGCGACCGTAGCGCGCCTGGCAGAGCCCAGGGACGGCGAGTTTGCACGTGGCGTCCCCGCGGGACCTCCGCGAGGGGCGCAGCCAGGCCGACCACGGCGGCATGCCTGCGGCGAGGTCTCGCCCGGGTCCCTTGCAAGTCAAGGCCGCGCTCCGCTGGACCCCCCCCCCTCCGGGGCGCAGCAGAGTGGCGACAGAGGGCCTCGCCCCCCTGGTTCCCCAGGGGCGCAGCACAGCGGCGACGGCTGCGCAAGGGACCGCAAGGTTCCACGCGTGTCCCTGGAGTGGAGCGCTTTCTGCTGGGGCCCCCCGGGGGTGCAGCAGCGCGGCTGCAGTGTGTGCACATGGCAGCACCTGGGGACGGCGAGGTCTCGCGTGTGTCCCCGCCAGGGCCCACTGCGCTGGGCCGTGCTGGGGCGCAGCCGAGTGGCGGTAGTTGCACACGTGGCCGAACCCAGCGACGGCCAGGTCTCACTCGTGTCCTCGTGATGCCCCGCTCCGCTCGGCCCTCCACGGCCCCAGCAGAGTGGCGGCAGTTGCACACGTGGCAGAACCCAGGGGCAGCGAGGTATCATTGGTCCCCGTAAGGCCCCACTCCGCTGAACCCCCAAGGGGCGCGGCAAAGTGACGGCAGTCGCACACATGGCAGAACCGAGGGACGGCGAGGTGTCGTTTCTTGCCCCACAGACCCACGCGGCGGGGTCCCGTTTGTGTTCCCGTAGAGCCTCACTCCAGTGGACTGTCCAGTGCACAGCAAAGTGGCGACAGTTGCATACGTGGCAACACCCAGGGACGGCGAGTATTCAACTGGGTCCCCATAAGGCCGCGCCCCAAGGATCCCCCCAGGGGCGCGGCAGAGTGAAACAGTTGCACTCGTGGCAGTTCTCAGGGACGGCGAGACCTCGCTCCGAAGAGACCGCATTCCGCTGGAGCCCCCACGGTCGTAGCATGGTGTTTCAATATGGCAGTTGCTCGGCGATTTCGGCCCTCGGGGGCCATGTTCGGGCCCCAGCACCATCAGAAAGGAGTACAGAACGAAAAACAGATTCCCAAGGATGCGGCCGGAGCCTCATTGGGCCGCAGCTTTTCAAAACGTCACCTCGGCGGGCTTCACTGTTCACGCCCGAACCTCTGCCTCCACCGGCCCTCGCTCTTTTGCCCTGCTCTTGCTCGTCATCCTGCTCCATAGCCATTTGTCAGAGGAGCATGAAGTATTGATATTGATAGTTTTCCAGATTTCCATGTTTTCCTGTTCTTCCGCGCGGGCTCCAGGGACGAATGGTCGAGCGCATTCCGTCGCGCAGGTTCTTTTCGCGATGCTCGTGGTGCATTCTTCGCGCATCGGAGCGCCCTCGAATATTCCAAGCTGCATGCTGTGTTGCTCTTGGGGAGTCCAGGAGTCGCAGCTGCCATGGCGCTGTTTTCGAGGTAGCCCCTTCGAGTGCTGTTCGCGGGCGCAACGCGCGGCGCGCGCTGCGCCCAATCGCGCGCGGCGCGGCGCGTGAATCAGCCGGCCTCGCCCGTCAGACCGCCCGGACATGATTTCTGGATTGCAGAATGTGTCAGAAATTTCTTCCGCCTTTTTTTGCGCAAGCGGTTCCGGAATTTTTCAAAAAGGAGCCCGGAAATTTTCAAAAAACAGTTTTGAGGGGTGGAATGAATGCGCCCGCCGCGCAGGACATCTGAAGAATTCTGAAATCCGGAATTTTTCAAAATGGATTTTGGAATTTTTCAAAAACGACCCCATAAATTTTCAAAAACGATTCTGATATTTTTCAAAAAGTAGGCCGGACATGTTCAAAAACGTTCCCGGATTTGTTCATTTTTACCCCCTGGGACTTTTCCAGAGTCGCGCATGATTTGCCTTGCCAGGTCTTTGGGAATCCGCCGAGGCGCGCGGTGCGCGGCGGCGGGCGATGGGACGGTGCGCCACCGTCCCCCCCGCGCTCGGCAACGAGAAGGGGGATCAGCAACTGCCAAATAGCCCCTGACGGGCGACCACTCGATGGAGAATGGGTGGCCGACCATCGGCGCCAGCCGGAGTAGACAATACTCGACGCAAGGTGTACCCCGCGCGAAGGTTTTTAGAAATCCCGGAATCTCCGGAACGTATCAATAGCACGCTGTGTCAATAGATTCTTCTCGTCCTAATTTGGGCTCGGCCTCTTCGTAGCCCGAACACTTGCCAACCTTCTACATATCTGGCACTTCCAGATGGCGATCCGGAGTATCGTTCGCGCCGCGGCGTCCGTCTCCGTCGCCGGCGCCCTCGCGATCGCCGAGAGCGGACGTGCAGCACGCGCAGGAGGCGGGGGCGGCGTGGTCGCTGCTCACCGACTTGCCGCGCGCACAACTTCAGTCCAAGGACCAGGCCGCTTCTGGTTGCGGCAAGGACACCACCGCACAGACACACATGGTTATACATATATATAGATAGATATACACACATACATATATACAGGTATGCATGCATGCTTACATGCATATGCAGAATTACCGAAATGCACATGTACATGCATATACACATACTACATGCCTGCACACATACATGCACACGCGTGCTGCATGCATACATACATGCATACATACGTACATACATACTTACATACACACCTACAAACGTACAAACACACACGCACGCACATCAACATAAATGTATACATATACAAACACGCATACATACATGCATACATACATACAGGCATGCATACATACATGCATACAGGCATTCAGGCATACATGCATACAAACATCCATACATGCATACAAATACACCTGCACACATATATACATACATACATACATACATACATACATACATACATACATACATACATGCGTACAGACACCGAGATACAGACATACAGACATACACACATACACACATACACACATATATATATGCATACATACATACATACAGGTATGCATGCATCTATACATACATACATACATACACACATACATACATGCATACCGCATACATGCATGCATGTATACATGTATACATATACATACATATATATATACACACGCACACATACATACATTCATCCACCCATACATACACATACACATACATACATGCATATCTACATACAAACATGTATGCAAACATACATACATACATACATACACAGACACACATACATGCAACAAAAAAACTACATGCATGCATGCATACGTACACACATACACATACATACCAACACGCCTACATCAATGCACACATACATACATGCATGCATGCATGCAATCATGCATGCCTATATACATGTTGCATGCATACATGCATGCATGTATGCACACATGCATGCATGCATACATGCATGCACACACACACACACATCTATATGCGTATATTTCCACACCGATCTACGTACAGACACACCACGGTATGTTGTTTCTGGGTCTCAGCATCGTCTAACGGATCCCCACCCCGACTGGTCCGATGGTATCTCAGCCCCAGCAGCCCCCCCTGCACGGGAGGAAAGGCCCCGAGAAACCCGATGGTAAAAGCGCGTAATTTCGTCGGCCAGATTGGCCAGGGCAATGCGGTTGGCGACAGGGATCGTTTAAACGATTTGCAAGGATTACCCTGGTTACTTCACGATCGATGGCCTGATGTGGCCGAGTCCTTGGAAGAGCAGCCATGCCTGGAACATCTCCGCGTGCGCGCGGCACTGCGACGAGAACCGTAATTGTGTCGGTTTCACCGCCCGCCAGCCTAGACACGGCAAGCTGTTGTGCTGGATGTACAAGGGGCTCCAGAGGCAGGTGGATCACCTGGCCATGTCCTACATGAAGTGCATAAAAGGGTTCGAGTGCCAAGACGGGTTTCAGTTCTCCCACGCGGGGACCTGGAGATCGGGCAAGAGGATCCCGCATCTGGACGACGAGGACATGGAGGAGTGCCGGTTAGCGTGCCGCAAGGACAGGGGTTGCGTTGGCTTCACGCACCGCGTAAACAGGGAAGATGACAAGTTCTGCCTCCTCTTCGAGGACCCAGACAACAGGCAGGGCCCCAGCCGAGACTCGCGCGCGAGCACGTACTCAAAGTGTGGCCAGATCGAGGTCCTCGAGGAGAACCAGACGGACGAGGAGAAGAGGGGAAGAGGGGACTCTTCCTCCTCGTCCTCCCCCTCGTCCTCCTCCTCCTCCTCGTCCTCCTCCTCCTCCTTCCTTCCTCCTCCTCCTCCTCCTCGAGGAGAACCAGACGGACAACGAGCAGGACCCGGCCCCGGCCTCGGCCGACGAGTAGGGCTCGGCCCTGGCGGGCGAGCACGCGGAAGGCCAACACCGCGGCACGAGCACCGGCCTCCAGGGTTAGAATTGGGGTTTCTCGGGCCGGCGCCGCAGGGCGCCTGTAAATGCCTCCTCCCTCCTCCTCCTCCTCCTCCTCCTCCTCCCTCCCTCCTCCTCCTCCTCCCCCTCCTCCCCCTCCTCCCCACCTCCTCCTCCTCCTCCTCCTCCTCCTCCTCCCCCTCCTCCTCCTCCTCTCCTCCTCCTCCTCCTCCTCCTCCTCCTCCTCCTCCCCCTCCTCCTCCTCCTCCTCCTCCTCCTCCTCCTCCTCCTCCTCCTCCTCCTCCTCCTCCTCCTCCTCCTCCTCCTCCTCCTCCTCCTCCTCCTCCTCCTCCTCCTCCCCCTCCTCCCCCTCCTCCCCCTCCTCGCCCTCCCCTCATCAGGTCGCCTACGGCCCCGGGGGAAACCGTCCAGCCTTCAGAGGTCAAAGTTGGGGTTGGGGTTTCTCGGGCCGGCGCCGCACCGCCCTCCCCCGCTTAGGCGCCGGCAAGCGCGGAGGCGGTAAATGTCACCGAGCGCCTTCCACTGCTTGCGAAGTGCCCACTCGCCAACGTCTGAGACAAGAACAGATGTTTGCCACGATGTAACATCATGTCGTAAATCCCTCGCGGCGGATCCAGGCCATTTGCGAGTAGATACTTTGAGATTAGTGGCGCACGCTTGTCTAAAGTGGAGTGCCGAGTTGAAGGCCCATAAAGGGGCCTTCCAGGGCCCGAAAAGAGCACCTTGCTTCCCCCCCGTTCGTCGCCCCCCCCAGTCATTCGCGCCCAACCCCCGTTCGCCGCTTCCTGGAGCGCCGAGCGAGCGCGGCAGGGGTGAGGAGCCAGGGCCGCCCGAAGCAGGCGGGGCCGAGGATCGCGCCACATCGCCGATGGACCGGCGATGCGGCGCGATCCACCGACCCCATCTGCTCCGGCCCCCCCGGGGCGGCCTCCAGATGCGTGCCGCCCGGCGGTGCTCAGAGCGGGGCCCAGCGCCGGCCCGGGAAGTCTTTTGCGACGTGCCCGGATCTTCCACACGCCGCGATCCGTTTCGCAGCGCGGACCCGCTGAGGCCTGGACCCCGTGCTGGGGCCAGCCCTGCGCCACGAGCCGCTCCGTGGAAGCTGAGGGCCCCCGAAGGCCGAGTTTTTTTTGTTTGACTGCAGACGTGTGTGTGGGAACACTTGTGAACACTTGCGGTGCATGTTTATTTGGCGAACACGTGTGAGCACTTGAGCTCTTAACGTCTTGAAGTTGCTTCTGAACACTTGTGCTTGTGTGTGCGTATGTCTGGGCCCGGTGGTTCGCGCTCGAGCTGCCAGTGTTGGTCTCCCAAGAGCAGCGCGAGGAGGCCCGAGCCTCCGAGGACGAGCAGATGTGAGGGCCGAGGCCTCGGCGATCGAGGGGCCGGCGGCGCGGGCACGGGCTCGCGGGCAGCGGGCGAGGGCACAGGACGGCCTCGGGAAAAAAGTCGGGCGGGTCCCCTTCTACAGGAGAAATAATTAGAAATAGTCAAAAAATAGTCAGGGGCCGATTTTTCGAGTATCCTTGGATATTTGTTGAGTATTTTCAGGATTTTTCTTTTTCCTCAAAAAAACGGCCTCTAGGGGGACGTGCCCGACTGAAGCCTCGGGTCAATAGGGAAGCTGCGTCATCGAGAACAGAAGAACCCCGAACCCTAATAGCACGATGAAGACGTGGCCTCACTGAGGTCACCGTCTCCGCAATTAGGGAGAAAACATCCGGGCGGTTTGGTCTGGCGCATCTGCAGAAAAGACCCCTTATCCCTGATGTTCATGGCCCTCCTAACTTTGGTCCCCTCCCCAAGGTTTAGGAGTCCTTTTTCTTGCTGATCATTCTGCTCCCATATGGGCGGCGTCAGAAAGCCGCGTCGACTGCGCGGACATTCTCGCGCATGCTTCCCGCGCAAGGCCGCGCGTGAGCGCCCCGCTGGTGGCCCGCGTGAGCCCGCGTGAGCAGCTGCTCCAGGACGCTATGGTTAAGTCGGGCATGTCCCTCTACCGGAGGAATATTCGAAAAGAGTCCAAACATAGTCGGGGGGCGATGTTTGTTTACCGTTTTTGCTGCTGTTTTTGATTACCTAGACTATCTTTCACTTGTCGTCCAAAATCCCCCTGTAGGGGGACACGCCCGACCTGACGCTATGTCGTCGTTCCTCTTCGTCGCTCAGATGTTCGACGGTATCGTTTATTTTTCGTCTAAAATCCCCCTGTAGGGGGACACGCCCGACCTGACGCGAGGTCGTCGTTCCTCTTCGTCGCTCAGATGTTCGACGGTATCGTTTATTTGTCGTCAAAAATCCCCCTGTAAGGGGGACACGCCCGACCTGACGCTAGGTCGTCGTTCCTCTTCGTCGCTCAGATGTTCGACGGTATGACGTTTGCAATCCGGACGTTTTTTTGTTGGTTTCGGCCTCGGGGGGCCGGTCTCGGTCCCCCGGGGGGCTGCCAAAAACGGAGCCAGGGCGCATCGCTGCCCCAAGGGGAAGGATAAGGACCTCCTCAGGGCCGCGGGTTGGCAAAAACATAGCAGCGGAAGTCGGGGATGCGAGGCTGACAAAGCCCCGTTCTCGCCCATCTCCCTCCCTCCCCCCCGCCTCTGGGATCACGTCACGCTGTTTTGCCAACATGTGCGAAGATTTCCTACGGATTCTCTTCGAGGAGTTCCTAATATTTTCGGCGATCCCCCGCCGTGATCGTGAAAGAGGGGGGGGGGGGGGGGGGGGGGCAAATCTCCCCCCCTCTTTCACGATCACGCCCGTCATCGCTAAGTCTAAAACTATCCTGGCGAAGGTCCCAAACCATATGCAGTTGTGGGTACCGCAATTGTGAATCTCTTATTCGGTGAAGCCCCCTGTGGGGCCACGAAGCGCTGCACTGGGTGGGGGGGAACGCATGCGGACGGTAGCATTGGGGCCGTCGGTGGAGCTCCCTATGGGGCCACGAAGCGATGTACTGGGTTGGGGGGGCGCATGCGACGGTAGCACTGGGGCCGTCGGTGGAGCTCCCTACGGGGCCACGAAGCGCTGTACTGGGTGGGGTGGGGGGGGGGGGGGGCGCATGCTTGCGGTAGCACTGGGGGCTTTCGGTGGAGCTCCGTATGGGACCACGCAACGCTGCACTGGGTGGGTGGGGGGGGGACGCATGCGGACGGTATCATTGAGGCCGTCGGTGGAGCTCCCTATGTGGCCACGAAACGGTGTACTGGGTGGGGGGGACGCATGCGGGCGGTAGCGCTGGGACCTTCAGTGGAGCGCCTTATGGGGCCAACCGCTTTACTGGGTGATGGGGGATGCATGCGGGCAGTAGCATTGGGGCCGTCGTCGGAGCTCCCTATGGGGCCACGAAGCGCTGCACTGCGTGGGGGGGGACGCATGCGGGCGGTAACACTAGGGCCGTCGGTGGAGCTCCCTATGGGGCCACGAAGCGCTGTACTGGGCGGGGGGACGCATGCGGGTGGTGGACATGGAACCTTAGGTGGAGATCTCTATTAGTATTGGGTGGGGGGGGGTGCATGCGGGCGGTAGCACTGGGACCTTCGGTGGAGCTCCCTATGGGGAGGGGTGTGCCGAAATGGGTGTGGGGGGGCATGCGGGCGGTGGCTCTGGGGCCTTCGGTGGAGCTCCCCATGAGGCCACGAAGCGTGTGAGGGGTGTGCCGAGAGGGTGTGGCGGGGGGCGCATGCGGGCGGTGGCACTGGGGCCTTCGTTGGAGCTCCCCATGAGGCCACGAAACGTGTGAGGGCTGTGCCGTGGTGTGTGTGTGTGTGTGTGTGTTTGTGTGTATGTGTGCGTGTGCGTGTGCGTGTGCGTGTGCCGTGTGTGACGTGTGTGCCGTGTGTGCCGTGTGTGCCGTGTGTGCCGTGTGTGCCGTGTGTGCCGTGTGTGCCGTGTGTGCGTGTGTGCGTGTGTGCGTGTGTGCGTGTGTGCGTGTGTGCGTGTGTGCGTGCGTGCGTGCGTGCGTGCGTGTGTGTGTGGGTGTGTGTGTGTATGTGCGTGCGTGCGTGCGTGCGTGCGTGCTTGTGCTTGTGTTTGTGTTTGTGTTTGTTTTTGTGTGTGTGCATGCGTGCGTGCGTGCGTGCGTGCGTGCGTGCGTGCGTGCGTGCGTGCGTGCGTGCGGTGGCTTGGCGTGGCGTGGCGTGGCGTGGCGTGGCGTGGCGTGGCGTGGCGTGGCGTGGCGAGGCGTGGCGTGGCGTGGCGTGGCGTGGCGTGGCGTGGCGTGGCGTGGCGTGGCGTGGCGTGGCGTGGCGTGGCGTGGCGTGGCGTGGCGTGGCGTGGCGTGGCGTGGCGTGGCGTGTGGCTGTGGCGTGTGTGTGTGGTGTGTGTGTGTGTGTGTGGTGCGCGCGTGCGTGTGTGTGTGTGTGTGTGTGTGTGTGTGTGTGTGTGTGTTGGGGGGGGGGCGGGAGAGGGGGGGGGCATGCGGGCGGTAACACTGGGGCCTTCGGTCGGTGGAGCTCCCTATGGGGAGGGATGTGCCGAAATGGGTGTGGGGGAGGCATGCGGGCGGTGGCACTGGGGCCTTCGGTGGAGCTCCCCATGAGGCCACGAAACGTGTGAGGGCTGTGCCGTGAGTGTGTGGTGGGGGGCGCATGCGGGTGGTGGCATTGGGGCCTTCGCTGGAGCTCCCCATGCGGCCACGGAACGTGTGAGGGCTGTGCCAAATTGGGTGTGTGGGACGCACGCGGGCGGTCCCACTTGGGGCTTCGGTTGAGCTGCTTACGGGGCCACGAACAGCTGACTGGGTGGGTGAAAACGCCAAATTCGGTTTTGGGGACGCATGCGGGCGGTCCCACTGGGGATTTCGGTGGAGCTCCCCATGGGTCCACGAAGCGCTGTATTGGGTGGATGAAATGCCAAATTGGGTGTGTGGGGGACGCGTGCGGGCGGTGGCACTGGGGGCTGTTGTGGGGCTCCTTATGGGGCTGTACTTTGTTGGTGGAAATGCCAACTCTGGTTTTCGGTACGCGTGCGGGCGGTGGCACTGGGGCATTCGGTGGGGCTCCCTATGGGGCCACGAAGCGCTGTATTGGGTGAGTGAAACTGCCAAATTAGGTGTGTTGGACGCATGCGGGCGGTCCCAGTGGGGGCTTCGGTGGAGCTCCCCATGTGGGCACGAAACGCTGTATGCACAACCGAGTTTTCGGAACGCATGCGGGCGCTGCAATGGGGCCTTCGGTGGAGCTCCCGATGGGGCCACGACACGCTGTACTGGGTGGGTGAAAATGCCACATTTCGTTTTCGGGACGCACGCGGACGGTCCCACAAGTGGTTTCGGTGGAGTCCCCTTGGGGGTTGCGAAACAGTGCGTTGGGTGGATGAAACTGCTACAGTTGGTTTTCGGGACGCATGTGGACGGTGGCACTGGGGCCCTCGGTCGAGCTCCCTATGGGGCCACGAAGCGCTGGACTGGGTGGGTAATGCCAAATTCGGTGTTCGGGACTAACGCGAATGGTCCCAGTGGGGGCTTCGGTGGAGCTCCTAGAATGTGGCCACGAAGCGCTGGTACCTGGGTGTATGAAAATGCCAAATTGGGCTTTCGGGACGCATGCGGACGGTGGCACTGGGGCGTTCGGTGGAGACCCCCATGGGGCCACGAAGCGTTGTATTGGGTGGGTGAAAATACTCGATTACGTTTTCGGGAAGCTCCTTCTGGGGCCACGAAGCGCCGTAATAAGCGGTTGAACATGCCAAATTGGGTGTGTGGGACGCGCGCGGACGGTCCCACCGGGGGCTCTGGTGGAGTTCCCTATGGGGCCACGAAGCGCTGTATTGGGTGGGTGAAACTTCCAAATTGGGTGTTCGGTGCGCATGCGGACGGTGGCACTGGGGTCTTCGGTCGAGTTTCCTATGGGGCCACGGCACGCTGTACTGGGTGTATGAAAATGCCAAATTTGGTTTTCGGGACGCATGCGGACGGTGGCACTGGGGCGTTCGGTGGAGACCCCCATGGGGCCACGAAGCGTTGTATTGGGTGGGTGAAAATACTCGATTACGTTTTCGGGAAGCTCCTTCTGGGGCCACGAAGCGCCGTAATAAGCGGTTGAACATGCCAAATTGGGTGTGTGGGACGCGCGCGGACGGTCCCACCGGGGGCTCTGGTGGAGTTCCCTATGGGGCCACGAAGCGCTGTATTGGGTGGGTGAAACTTCCAAATTGGGTGTTCGGTGCGCATGCGGACGGTGGCACTGGGGTCTTCGGTCGAGTTTCCTATGGGGCCACGACACGCTGTATTGGGTGGGTGAAAATGCCAAATTTGGTTTTCGGGACGCACGCGGACGGTCCCAGTGGGGGCTTCGGTGGAGCTCCTAGAATGTGGCCACGAAGCGCTGTACTGTGTGTGAAATTGCCAAATTGAGTTTTCGGGTCCCATGCGGACGGTGGCACTGGGGCCTTCGGTGGAGACCCCCATGGGGCTACGAAGCGTTGTGCTGGGTGGGTGAAAAT